TGTAATTACTAAATAATTTGATTCCAATAGTATATATGATAATGAACTTACAAAAGTAAACAAACAAACATAATAATGAATATCAAAATTCATAATAGGATGCAAAAGTTCCAAATCAAACCACACCTAAATATTTCTAAACGTATAATTTAAGGTAAACTTGCATGATTACACAGTACGACAAGTTTGATAATAAATATGTGATTTGTGTATTACAAATAGACTGTTGACCTGCATCAAAAGTCGTCGGTCGCGGATGAGTACTCGTGTGTCGTATCATAATATTATTGTTATCCCTATTACCTGTCTTTATTATCTACGTACGCCACTTGTCTAATAAATCATAAATGTATGTAACATGGGTCGCTGCTACCATTCATTTCTGCCACTTAAATACAAAATGAACGTACATCACTTTCATTACCCAAGACTTTGCCCTACCTATTATGTAACGTACATGCATGATCTTTAATTAGTAAAATATTCGACGGAATCCTAAGAAGCGTAACTGCTATGACTCGATCTTATTGAAGAAAGAAAAAGAAGATTAAAAGTAATTGATGATTTTTTTTTTCTTTTGAGTTAATCGGTATGATACACATCAACAGAACTAGTAATTAAAAAACGAAATAAGTAGAATTGAAGCACAAGCGAGCAGTTACTTTTGACAGACTTTAATTAACATGTGGGCTCTGATATAAAATTGAAACATGTGTTAAATTAACTAAACGTCTAAGCTGATAATTATGTTACATATTTATATGTTCAACAAGTAGTCCCAAAAATAAATTATGATTCTTATACGTAAAATAATGAAATTTATCCAATACACACAATAATGACAATATAATCACCCGAAGGCTTTGTCAGAATTCAAAAAAAAAAAGAAGCAGTGTGGTTGGTTAAATCTATACGGATTGGATTTCGTCCTTGCTAGTTAAATAATTATCCCTATCGCCATTGTCACTCGATTTTACTATTATTTATTACTAACATTTGAATTATTTTTATATACAAAAATATATATACTTGGGTAAGAGTATCAAGTCGTTATGATGCATGTATGGTGCACACGGATGCAAAAACGACGCCGTTTTGACGTCGACTTAAAAAAACAAAAAATCAGAATTGCATAACTATACATTCATAATTTCATAACTATACATACAGAATTGCATAACTATATATCCAGAATTGCATAACTATACATCCAGAATTGCATAACTTCACATCCATAACTTCATTACTATACATCCAGAATTGCATAACTACACATCCATAACTTCATAACTATAAATCCAGAATTGCATAACTTCATAACTATACATTCAGAATTGCATAACTACACATCCATAATTTCATAACTATAAATATAGAATTGCATAACTATACATCCATAATTTCATAACATACATTCAGAAATTATGCACAACATAATATTGTTGACAGGAATCGAAACTGGTTTTTTTTTTTTTTAAGTTGGACGCGCGTTTTTAGTAAAAACGACGTCGTTTTTGCATCCGTATGCACCATGCATGGTGCACACGGATGCACAGCATAATTTGCCAAGGGTATCAAGGTTGGCCAAAGCCAGCATATCAGCCCTAAACCGTCCCGCGATGGGGCGGGTTAGGGCCTATAATTTTTGACCCATGAAATTGCGGACCTTGTGAGCTTTCATAAATTTAATATATATATATATATATATATATATATATATATATATAACATTAAAATTTTTAAAAATGTATTTTTTTTAAACACAAAAAGATAATATTATTTAGGTTAAATTATTTGAATATAAAATAATAAAATAATAATTTATTTTATTTTTGATGTTAGGTTCGCGGGACCCGCAAACCCGCATGGGCGAGTTTGAGTTGTATGTTCTCCAACTCGCGGGTTTCGAGGGCTGGCCCACAAAAACCCATCAAAACACCCGCGGTGAGGTGGGCTGGCCTGCATTGACACTCCTATACTTGGGTATCAAATGACTTTAATTAGTTTATATTGTATAAATTAAAAAATAGATTAATTCACACACATTTTCAATTTGAATAGTGTTTTTAACATAGAATAAAAATGTAAACATTTTGAAAACCTTGAGAATTAAAATTTTTTAAAAAAAAAAAAAACAAGTGACTATACATGCCCTAAAACCTCTTTAATTACCACATATAAAAGCACCATATAGATAAATTATTGGGAAATATATATGATGAAAATTCACAATAACATTAATGGTATTGCCTTTTCAAAAAAAAAAAAAAAAAAAAAAAAACATTAGTGGTATTGCAGTCGTAGTGTGATGACTGATACACTTAGGGAGTGTTTGGTAAATAGTTGTTAACTGATTAGATTAGTGAATTTGACTAGTTGATAATATTAGTTGATTGTAGAAAAATGTTTGGTAGATTAGTTGTTAGCTGACTACATACAAAATAATTTTCTCAAAACTACATTGAGCAATTTTTTAAATTTTAGCATTTTAGAGCAATAAGTTGTTACAAAAAGCTAATTAATCAAACACTCATATTGATTGTTTAACCAAGTCAAATAGCTAATAGTGGTCAAATAAACTAAAATTGACTGATAGGCTAATTATGTTACCAAATAAGGCCTTAATATGATTCAAGATTTAACAAAATAAGTGATTTTTTTTTTTAAATGCATATTAAGTCCGTGGTGTGTGGATGAGATTATATGAGTTCCTTATCGATTAATTAGGAATCATGGACTTCAACTTTGAGAATATAATTATCTCAAAATTTATAAGACATTATTAAACTTATATGATTGGGTAAGTCGAGGAAACATGTACTCAAAAAAATAAAAAAAAATAATATTAATGATGGTTTAGGATCATTATTTTGAATAATGGACATACCGGTCATTCTCACAATTTAATAGATGGATGGTTTATATAGTTAATTGAAAAATGAAAAATGAAGCTAAACAAATGTTTTCAATTTTCATTGTCTGGAATTGGACAAAATTTGTGTGATACGAATTCTTATTCGTAAAATGGTTGGGTCAAAATCAAATGTAATACTAAATCATGAATAAAATGTTTGTTACTTATAAGAAAAAATATAATATTTTTTTTAAGAAAAATGTAATATTTTTACATTTTAATGTAAAAGTTTTAATTTTTTTCATCAAAAGTATTATATTTTCTCTTATAAGTAATTACTTAGTAAAGGTATTACTTTTTTTTTTTTCCATCAAAAGTATTATATTTTTCCTTATAAGTAATTATTTATATTTTGATGTAAAAGTACAGTATTACTTTTTTTATTAAAATATTGTGTTTTTCTTATAAGTAATTATTTATATTTTGATATAAAAGTATGATTTTTTTTATAAAAATATTATATTTTTTATTATAAGAATTATTTCCAAAAAAAAAAAAAAAGAAGTTAGATGGACAGCTGTGGACCCCTAGGTATTGGGTATTCAAATTGTGCATGCTAACTAAATAGGAGAGATTTGGCGTGTGGAAGTATTTGGAAAACTTTTCAAAACAACATAGAAAAACAAATGGAAAATGCATGGAAAGTAGTTTTCCAAAATTTTCAACTTTGTTTTAAAAAATTGTTATTCAAAATGGAATGGAATAAGTGTGAAATTGGCTTGAATAGTGTAAATAGGCCCTCTAATTTATATATATATATATATATATATATATATATATATATATATATATATATATAATATTAAAGTCACCTAAATAAATAAAAAAACATCAATTGATTCGTATTTTTACTTGATACGTATGTATGTTATCGCCAACTAAACTTTCACGTCTACTCTTCATGAATATATAACAATGATTTGACATGGTTAAGTTGGATAATTATTTCAAACAAACAAACAATTTTTTTTTTTTTTTTTTGTAAATAAAGATGCTTAGATGCCTGGGTTCATGATGCAGTCATGGTCACCTTCATCACAAACTTAGAGTCGTATAGGGGCTGAAGGATATTGCATTTTGGAGAATAAAAATAGAAAGGATATTGCTATTTGCTATACTATATGGACCAAAAATTTTCATAAAAAATTGCTATACTATGAACCAAAATTTTTCATACAAAATTTATTTACCATCTGACATGTCAATAAATGTCTTTTAATTAATTGGTTATTATGAATTGATTTACCACTACTTTATTTTAATAATTTGCTTGTCTCACTATAAATTAATAATAATAATAATAATAATAATAATAATAATAATAATAATAATAATAATAATAAAGAAATTAAATGCATTAAGAATTCAACGAATTATTGCTACTTAAAGGTGTCGTGTTTCCATCTACTTTTCCATTATTATGACAAACTCATCATCATATCATTCTTAAGATGACAAGGAAAAGTAAACACAAATGTGAACAAAATAATATAATAAAACAGTAGATAACAAATTTTAATGAATAAAATATGTGAAATTTTATTATATTATATTCTTCCTGTCCAAAATCATATTAAAAATTTGGCAGGGGATGACTTATATGACGTATACATTGACTCATAATATCATTAGCACTATATTAAATCCCACTTGGCTAATATAAATTGAAAATTTCAATTAGAGTTAATTCCAAATTTTTGGTCTAAGATTTATAGGTGGCAGTCTACTTTTAGTCTTTTTTATCTGAACTTTTATTTTTGGTCCTAGTATTAGTATGACATGATCAATTTTGATCCTCTATCAAAAAATCGTTAAAATTTTGTTAAATACAAGGACATTTCAATCTTCAATTATAATTTTTTTTAAAAAAATAAACATAAAAAAATATAACATGTCAATGCACTTTGTATTAAAAAGATCAAAATGACATTCTATTTAACAAAATTTCAACGATTTTGTTGATAGAGGATCAAAATTGATCATGTCATAGTAATACTAGGACCAAAAGATAATGCTCTAATAAAAAAATGACTAAAACTGAACTGTCACTTATAAATCTAAGACAAAAATGGAATTAACTCATTTCAATTATTTGTTCAAAGTTGGCAGCTCTCCAATTCAAGTTAGTGTTATTACCTACAAAAAGCATTTCTCTCTCCCTCTCTCTCGGCAAACACATTCTCTCTCTCTCTCTCTCAGTCACACGGAGTTGTTTTCCAGATGAAGGGGAAGTTGGTGGCAAGTGGAGTTGGTCCGATGAAGTACGGCGCGAGCTTCTACATCATCACCATTATTATTATAGCAATTGCCATCGCCGACCAGCAGCTTCTTCCGGCGGCTAGAGCTCAGACCACCGCCACTGTTGATCCCACTGAAGGTGCGCACCATATCTTCTATGAAATTCCCCTTCCCTTCTTTCCGTACGTGTCTGCGCGCATATGAGAGAAAGGGAGAAACCTCTAATTAGATATTCTTTTTTTTGGTCTGCCCGCTCATCATATCTTTTTTTTGTTCTTGGTGGGAAAACTCTCTTTCTTACCCAAAAAAGGAAAAAAAAAAAATTATAAGTACAATCTAACCCTATCTATAATAGATATTTGGTGAACTGAGATAAGAATGGTACCTGAATTTATTTCATTTCAAATAGTAAAAGTGATGTCAAACTACAAGATACTCAGCAATTATGAGTTAATTAAATTTTTTTTACTAACACTATTTTAGTTAAATTGATTACACATAATCTTTCTAGTATAATTTGCTTTTCTTGTACAATTTGTGAGTTATTACAAGAGTTACAATAGAGGAACTAAAAATTAAAAGAATATATATGAAACTAAATATATATATGTATATTAGAACTTCAAACTATAGGTTCCATCATTATCTTCCTTTAAGAGCATCTCTAATTGTCAAGGTTTTTTGTTGGGAGTTAATACTATATGAGGTCCTCCGAGTATAGTGATTTTTCCACAATTAGTCATAAACTTTAAATTGATCATCTGTGATCCTTCGACTTTCAAATTTAACCATTCGTGTTCTAAGTTAACCACACATGGTCCTTCAACTATTAAATTTTAACCAGCCACGGTCCTTTCAAGAGGACCACGACTAACTTGGACCATGGGTGGTTAACTTGGACCATGAATAGTTAAATTTGAAAGTCGAAGGACCACAAATGGTCGATTTGAAAGTTTACTACTAAACGTGGTAAAATCACTATACTCGGAGAATCTAAGATGGTATTAACTCTTTTTGTTGGTTTTTAGGAACCCAAGTAGGAGAGAGATGGGAGAGAAAAAAAAAAAGGAAGAGAAAAAGAAAAGGAAAAAAGATTATGACAATTTTTTTTTTAAAAAGGAATATGCAACGGTCAAATTCTCAGAATAGTCGCCAGCTGACGGCCACTCTGAAGTGCCCTAGCAAGCGCGTGGAAAACACGCGAGGTGTACAGTGGACTCCAAGAACGATCCCTAGTCTTTTTTTTTTTTTCTTGGTCTTTGTAGGAGAAAAGAAAAAGAAGAAAAAATCAATGCTCATATCAGTGAAAAACTATACCATCAAATTTTAGCTCTATAAAACTTAATATAAAAATTCATATTGCGGATGCTCTAAGGTAACCCAACAGTGAATTTTTGCAAAATTTTTTAACATTGGGGGTGAGGCGGAAGAAACATAGAAGAAGAGAAAACAAAAGATTTTTTTTATAGAAAGTTTAATTTTTTGCAGGAGAAAAAAAAAGGAAAAAGAAAAAGAAGTAAGAGCATCCGCATCAGTTGGAGATATTGTGGGAAGAATGTAAGAGTGATTAGGAAAGAGAATGTGGGATGGGAGAAAAAAAAAAGAAAAAAAAAAGAATAAAGTTGAATTTTATAAAAAAAAATAAAAAAGTTAATGACGCACCACACTGGCGCGTGCAATGCACGCACCAGTGTGGCCTCTGGCTGTGCGCAAACGCGCACAGCATTTGCTTCTTTTAATTTTTTACCTTTTTTCTTTTTCTGACATCATTTGGGTCTTTGCAGGACAAATATTTTTTAAATTAATCCCACCCCACATTTGCTATTAACTCCACTCAAAATAAAGAATCTGACATTAACCCCCATTTCACCTTTGATGTGGATGCTCTAACTAAGTTAGTTTTTATTTTTTATTTGTTTTTAAACCTAATAAAAAAATCCAATAATTGAAGTTGCTCTAAAAGTACAACTGTCATTCTATGGCACTCACCCATGGGTGATTTCTAAAACTTTTCAATGTCGTATCCCTCTAAAAGTAAAACTACCACAACGGTCAACGGTCAACGGTCATGACTCATGACTCATGACCATGCACCCACCTGACCACCTATTGGTATTGATTTTCTCATTATGTCATACGTTATAATTTAAACCAAGGACGGATCAAATAAAATATTAAAATACTTACAAATCCAAAGAAAGTGGTAATTATTATAATTTGCTTACGTATAGCAAGAATTTTTTTGATATCTTCTTTCAATTTATTTTCAACATAAATAGCAACACCACAACAAGTAACACGGTAAAGTTTTCATTAAAATCGTGCAATTTTTTTTTTCTCCTGTGAAATTGTTCTCATATGAGTTCAAACAAAACATAGTCTTCTAATAAAAAGTGAGTGTCAAAGTTCATCAATAATAAGCATTTTAGTAAAAAAAAAAAATTAATTTTATAATTATTACAAAATTTTAAATTTACAATATTTATGAAATTGACTCGTCTATTTTCCTCTTGTTTTCCACAACTATCAATTCTTCCTTCTTCTTTTTTTTTTTTTTTTTTTTTTTTTTTAGCTATGGAGCATATACATCAATAATGAATCATATATAATATTCAATTCTTCCTTTTTATCTACAAGTTCGCTCTCATATGAACCCTTCCATTATATTTTTAAACATTTGAAGTAGAATTCGGGAGTACATCTAGTAAAACTTTATTTTAAAACAACATACATTGTCTTTGTATGTTGTTTTAATAGTTTAAAATTTTCACCCCTTAATTAATAAAAATAAGTTATTTTATTTGACGCTTAAATTTTAATTCATTCTTAGGACGGATTAAAAATGTGTACCAGGTGCTTAATACTACGTAACAAGTTATATAAAATTTAATTTATTCAACAATTATTGACTTTTTTCCCCTCATAAAAATTGTAATGCTTTTTTGGTTGGCTCCAAAATACCAATGAATTCAAAAATGGATGCTGTGGTGCAGCTAGGATTTTGAACTCCATATTCCAAAAATGGGGAATTCTGGCCAACAATCTGCATTGGAACTTGAGTGGACAACTGTGCACTGGCTTCGCCGTCGATTCTACCAGCATGCAAGACACCGCTTACAATCCCGCAATCAAATGCACTTGTTCTTCCACCGTTTGCCACATCACTGCCCTGTAATCTACCATTTTCTCCACTTTCTTCTCCGGAATTACTCAATTCTAGACGGGAAGATACGCTTCCTTTTGTTTATTTATGAACTTCAATCTAGAGGCTTCTTGATGTATGATTTTTCTTCGCAGGAAAGTTCAGGCGCTAGACGTTACTGGTGGCATTCCAGATGAACTTTGGAACCTAACTTCCATCAATGATCTGTATGGATTTTTTTTTTTTCATATACTGTAGTTCTGATCGTAACCGTTTTATGTTCCATTTTCGGAAAACTTATTTGATTAGGTTATTCAGATTATTAATTTTGACAAAGATTATGGATTGCAAACCAAATAATTCGTAATTATTTACAATTCATTGCCAAATAATCTTGGTCCTGACTATTATATATGAATCACATTTGGTCTTAGGTGCATGACTATGTAATTTGTATTCATATTTGGTCCTGTCGTCCAATTTTCCGCCTAACTATTGCCGGAAGTGCTCCTTCCGGAAGGAGCCTGCTGTCCAATTTCCGGCCAACTATTGCCGGAAGTGCTCCTTTCAAAAGGAGCACTGCATTTGCTTATTCTGGAATGAGCACTTCCGGCAATAGTTGGCCGGAAAATTGGACAGCAAGACCAAATGTGATAGAAATTATCTAGCCATGCACCTAATTAGAAAATTGTAATAGTCAAGGACCAAATGTGATTCATGTATAATAGTCACTAAAAGTGAAATTTATTCTAATCCGTATGTGTATTTATTGTAGAAATCTTGGCCAAAATTACTTGAATGGCACACTGTCCCGCTCTATTGGAAATTTGCGTCGTATGCAATACCTGTAAGTCAACTTTAACTGTGGTATTTAACTTGATAGTTATCTGTGTTTCATGTTGAGTGCGAGTTAAAGCATATATGATTATTTTTTTTATTTTTTTATTTTGTCACCAGAAGCGTAGGCAAGAATGCATTGTCAGGGGAGCTTCCAAAGGAACTTGGATTGCTGACTGACTTAAGATCCCTGTAAGACATTCTTAAAGCCATGCATGGATATTATATATGATTCATTATTTATGTATATGATCAGGATATTCTTGGACATTTGTTTGCAAGACAATTGAAATTTGCATGTGTTGCAGTTCCATTAGCACAAATAACTTTTCTGGACTTCTGCCATCGGAGCTTGGAAATTTGAAAAAACTAACACAACTGTAAGAGTGATTTGACACTTTAAAGCATAATACTTCTAGAGACCAGCTACAGTTTTCGCTTTATATTGATAGATTTTTTATTCAATTGCCAGCTATATAGATAGCTCTGGTGTTAGTGGACCTATACCTCCATCATTTGCAAATCTACTGAACCTAGAAACAGTGTAAGTGCCCTTGACTTTTTTTATTTTTTTATTTTTTCTAAATAGTAAAAATCAGGTGAATTCTGTAATGGAGTTCAATGGAGCAAATTTTGTGTCTTTCAGGTGGGCTTCAGACATTGAGCTTACAGGGAGGATACCTGATTTCATTGGGAATTGGTCAAAGCTTACTACCTTGTAAGACTGTTAATAAGATTGTTATCCTTTCCAGCCAGTCCATTGCACTTGATTTCTAGATTCAATGGAAAATCATTCTTAATCCATGCCCATTGCTGGTTCTCTACTTTCCATTGTTTATGATTGGCATCGATTTTGTATTTCTGCAGGAGGCTTCAAGGAAATTCATTTCAGGGCCCAATTCCATCTACATTTTTAAAGTTAACCTTAATGCTTGATTTGTGAGTTTTATCCAAATCCATCTACATTCTTCTTCTTCTTTTATATATATTATGTGTGTTACAAAGTTTGTTTTTTCGTGTAAAGAATATTCTAATGTCTACTGGCACTGGATACTTGCAGGAGGATAACTGATCTTTCGAATGGGAACTCTTCACTGGACTTCATTAGGAATATGAAGAATTTAAGCAAACTGTAAGGAGACATGATCAGCTCCAATCTGCAAAGTTTTATTATACTCATGTTTTTTGTTTTTGTGTTTGTTTGTTTTTTCCTAGAATCTGACCTAGTATAATGAACTTGCTGCTTGGTCCTCAGAGTGTTGCGGAATAACAATATTTCTGGTTCCATCCCCTCTAATATTGGAGAATATCAGAGCTTGTCTCTGCTGTAAGTCCTCTGGTTGAAGGATGTTTTTATTTGAAATGTTTGACTGTCTACTGCTTGTGTTTGAACTGAGATATTTACTTTGTAAACCCAGGTTAAAGCCAAAAAAATATATTGGTGATTGAAGATCAATATTTAATATAATTGCAAGTTTTAGTGATTCAATTTTATTTATCATTCCATAAGAAAGCACTGCTTAACCATTTATCTGTTTTTTTTTTTCTTATAGGGATTTGAGCTTTAACAATTTGACAGGACGTGTTCCAGATCAACTCTTCAATCTTAGTTCACTCCAAAATTTGTAATAAATTGCACTGGAATTTCTTTTACTTTGATACCATCTCGTTAGCACACTCATATGGTTATTCCAATCTCTAGGTTTCTTGGTAGTAACAAGTTAACAGGTCCTTTGCCTTCACAAAAGAACCAAAGCCTACTGAATATGTGAGTTATATCCTTTTAATCATAAAGCTAAACTTTATTGCTGTAAATATTCATCCCCACATAGCTTAGGGCATTAACTAACCCATTTGGCTTAGATCTATATAACAATTAATTGTTCAATTACTCTACATATGATATCTGTGTTGTTTCCTGTCTGTTATTGGCTGTTGGCCTTAACACTTAGCTATGTTTAACATCCTCAAGATTTTACCTGCAGAGACTTATCATACAATGAATTATCTGGTAGCCTCCCTTCTTGGACTGGTGGACGAGGTTTACAACTGTAAGTATGAATAGACAATAAACATCACACATTGTGCGACATTCCTTCCTAATGTATATGTTTTTGTTTCAAGATTCACTTTCTAATATAATAGGGGTCTCTTCTTGAATTGAATTCTAATGTTGCCACTTGCTATTATATAATTTGCAGAAATCTCATCAGCAATAACTTTACAATAGGCAGATCTAGGGGCAGGTGAGTGTAAATTGTCCATATATATCATTTTTTGAAATAACTATCTTCTATTTTCGTTGTTCTTTGAATTTTCCAAAGGCCGTAGATCTGTTCATAGATATTAAATATGTTGCTAATAATTAAAATGCTAGAGATATGTTTAAATCAATTTAAAATCTACATCAGGCTACTCATCCCCATGGTTTGGTTCTAGGTTAGGACTGGTGGTACTGGAACTAGAACCTGAACCGTTCAGTACAAGTCACTCTTCTAGTTCCTGTTCGGAATCAGTTTGAATTGCTAAACTTTAAAAGTTATAAGGGGCATTTCTGGTTTCTATTCCTAAAATAGAGGAATCTTAACCAGGACCTTAGGATCTTGGCTAAGATTCTACCATTCTGGTTAGAATAGTAAACGCTTTGATCCAAACTGTTACCATGGCTACATCAGGCTACTGTTTTCTTAGAAAATGTTTGACAATTTGTTCTGACAGGATGATGCAAATAAGTCAAAAATTTATTTTGAGATAGTTTTAATTTCTCTTGGATTCGATGTTAATCTGATTCAATGCATCCTTTCTCCTTTCAGTGCTCTGCCTTCAGGATTGAATTGTCTTCAGAAGAATTTCCCTTGCAATCGGGGAAAACCCATTTGTAAGTTAAACCAAAATGTGTTTCATTGATCGATATTTTATGCTCAAAGAAAATATGTTGGATGTAATTCTTTAAAGATGAAATTTCTACTCATTTCTAACTTCTGTTCTCTAACTTGTATAATTTTGCACACTGCATACTGTGAAATGGAGGCCAAATAAATAAAACAGAAAAAGATTTTTGTATTGAGTTTTGATACTTAATGCGCTTGAATAAATACTGAGAGGCTATAAATTATTACACAACTGCTATTCTATTTCTATGCATTTTGAGATGGAGGTCTTTTAACACTTCCACATTTGCTTATCACCCACAGACTCTAGCTTTGCTATTAAGTGTGGTGGTCAACAAATTACATCATCTAATGAGTTAGTGTTTGAGAGGGATAATGAGACTCTTGGTCCGGCAACATATTACATGACAAGCACCGGAAGGTGGGCTGTTAGCAATGTTGGACTGCCCTCTGATAGCACTGCTCCAGAATACACAGCCTCCAGTTTGTCACAGTTTACAAATACTTTGGACTCTGAACTCTTCCAGACAGCAAGACTTTCAGCTGGATCGCTAAGGTACTATGGCTTGGGCTTGGAAAATGGTAATTACACTGTGACCCTCCAGTTTGCAGAGCCAATAATCCTGAATCCTAATCCTCCTTCTTGGAAGACTCTTGGGAGGCGCACCTTTGATATATATATACAGGTATGTGTTCTAGGATTTGGGTAGGATCACTTATACATGAAGTTTAGCTGAGTTGTTGGTTTCTTCAGGGCAATCTAAAGGAGAAAGATTTTGACATTAAAAAAATAGCTGGGGGATCACTTAGAGCTCTTTCAAGGAAATATACTGTTCATGTATCTGAAAATCATATGGACATCCATCTATTTTGGGCTGGGAAAGGAACTTGCTGTGTACCTAGACAAGGGATTTATGGACCTTTGATTTCAGCTATTAGTGCAACCGCAGGTACATATGATCTTCACCAATTATCATTTCAAGTAAATGTATCATCAAAGTCTTTTAAAATTTGTATTTTGATAACTTCGCTTTTCTGCAGATTTTCATCCCACCGTTAGTAATGAACCTCCCTTTGAAGATGATGAACTTCCCTCTGAAAAAAAGAAGAATAGAACTGGCATGGTTGTAGGAATTGTTGTTGGAGTAGGAGTCGTGAGCTTTCTTTCTGTATTTGCTGTGTATTGTTTTGTTCAGAAAAGAAAAAGGCTGCACACATATGAAGATGAAGGTAAGTAAACAAATTACTACAAATCCTGTTCGACTTTATTTGCTGGATTTTTTGTTTTTCCAGAAGCCCCTAACTTCTTTTTTGCTTGTGCTTGAGAAATTGTGAATATATGAGCATAGCCGGGCCCTGGATAAAACAACTAGAAATTAGTTAAAATTGGTTTACCAACTCTTGCTATAGATCAAAGCAGTTTAGGATCAGTTCTATTGGAGTATTGGAAAGATTGCTAGCATTTTTCTTTACAAGTCATCTCGTTTAGGGATAAAAGTGGAAGTAGGGAACAGAAATTGGCTAGCAAGAATGTATATAATGTTTATCAATGAACATCATTTAGATTCATGTATTCCTACAGTTGTTACACATTCCTATCAGAAAAGAACCTTGTCATTAGTTTATATAAGCCATTTGGTCGGTGAAATATGATTAGTTTCAACTTTGAAGTTTAATAGCATCTTTTCCTATTGAATTTGCAGAGCTCTTGGGAATGGATGCAAAGCCATATACTTTTACTTATGCAGAATTAAAAGCCGGGACAAGTGACTTTAGTCCTTCTAATAAGCTCGGAGAGGGAGGATTTGGACCAGTATACAAGGTAATTCTTCTTGCAATGAACTGCTAAAGTAACCCTTCCTCAATTTTCACACAAAAAGCAGGATAAAAAAATTAAATACGTCGGCTATTTCCTTTGAAGTTGTTTGAATTGCATCTTTAATTCACTGCCTTTTTTCCTTTATACTTTTCCTCCATAAAATTTATCCTTTCAATTCATTTGTCTCAGCTTTGCCTTCTGATTGTAAGCCATCAAAATTGGTGGGGTTAGCTGTAAAAAAGATACCTAATGATTTGCATCTAAACACAAGTTCTTCGTTTTCTTGAGAAACATCTGAAGTGAAAAAAATTTAGTTGAGGATATATCTGTTCTTTAGCCTAAAATTTGTGATAAACAGGGAACACTCGAAGATGGGAGAACTGTTGCTGTTAAGCAACTCTCTGTGGTCTCCCGCCAAGGGAAGAGGCAGTTTGTGGCAGAGGTTGCAACTATTTCTGCTGTCCAGCACCGCAACCTCGTGAAGTTGTATGGTTGTTGCTATGAGGGTGACAACCGGTTGCTTGTTTATGAGTATCATGAAAACAAGAGTCTTGATCAAGCACTATTTGGTATTATCTTATAGTTTTATGCCCCTTTAGTTCCTATAACTTGTCTCTAATAGAAGGATGCTGATCTGTTTTTATTTTTTTAACTGTCTAGGACATAGTCACTTATACCTTGATTGGCCAAGACGATTTGAAATATGCTTGGGAGTAGCAAGAGGTCTAGCTTATTTGCACGAGGAATCTCGACTAAAAATTGTACACAGAGATATCAAAGCCAGTAATATTCTACTCGACTCATACCTCAATCCCAAAATCTCAGATTTTGGGTTGGCGAAGCTCTATGATGATAAAAAGACCCATATGAGCACCCATGTTGCTGGCACAATGTAAGATCGGTAAACCCTATATCCTATTCATGCAGTTAACCTTTATTTACGGAACTAATTGCTGATGCAGTGGGTACCTTGCACCGGAATATGCCATGCGTGGCCACCTTACTGAGAAGGTTGATGTATTTAGCTTTGGAGTGGTTGTCTTGGAGATTGTCAGTGGTCGTTCGAACTCTGACTCCAACTTGGAACAAGATAAGAGATATCTTCTTGAATGGGTATGGAATATACTCAATCTCTTTCGTCAATCATTAATATCAATCTGAAAACACATATTCCTGTTTGGTGACATAGTTAGCTTATCAGCTAATTTTAGCTTGTTTGACGACTATCAGCTGTTTCACTTGATTAAACAACCAATATGCATGTTTGATTTATTGGCTTTTTCTAACAGCTTATTATTTCAAAAAAACTAAAATTAAAAAAGCTGTTCAAAGCAACTTTTTCGATCAGTTTTTTGAAAAAGTGATTTTACATATAATCAGCTATTAGCTAACAGTTAATTTACCAAACTTCTTTCTACAATTAGTTAATGTTATTAACTAGTCAAACTCACTAACCCAATCAGCTATCAGCTATTTACCAAACACCCGCATTGTCTGAAATAAACCTGGAAAAACCATTGAAATAGAAATTAGTAGTCCGATTCAGTTCTTAACCAACTGTTGTTTCAATCCTGACTGATTCTATTGATCTTTAGGCTTGGCATCTCCATGAGAATAATAGCGCTGTTGAAGTGGTGGATGAAGATCTACTAGATTTCAACGAGGATGAAGTGAAACGAGCGATAGGGGTATCGCTTTTGTGCACCCAAGCATCCCCAACATCGCGGCCATCAATGTCCCGTGTGGTAGCGATGCTTTCAGGAGACGCTGAAGTACCAACCGTAACTTTAAAGCCCAGCTTCCTCATTGACTGTAAGTTCGATGATAAAACTAGTTTGCTGCAGTCTATTATTCTCTGTTCCCAAACGGCAGATGAAGGTCCATCAGTGGTTACTACAAGTGTGGCAGCAACAGATTTAAATTCTTCACCGTTAGATAATCCTTCCAGGCCTATCCTTCATGAGATCATTGGAGATGGTAGGTAGGCATGTGATGCCATCAAAGTTTTTGCAATCGCATTGCCTGCTGCAATATAGGTTTGCCTTTCACCAATGATACTTATGTACTAGTTTTTGTTACTATTGTGTATGTCATGGGCAGTGGTCCCGCGTTATAGTACAGGTTCTTTTAGGACATGTATACATACATTGATGGTATTTTTAGGTGTTTTATCACTATTAAAATTAATAAAGGAACAGTTTTGCTCGCACTTTGCCGAATCAAATCTTGTCTTTTTACTTTTTGTCATTAGGAATTTCCTCGTACTTTACCGAACCACATAAATTTTGTCTTTTTACTTTTGTCATTAGGGATTTCCTCGAATGAATCGTTGCATTCTTTTCATCCTAGTAATGCAATAGACATAGCAATATAGGATAAAGTGAACACAGGACAAGTAAGAGAGAAAACCATTAACATTTTATTATTCATCCTTCTGTTCAATATATACAAGATATACAAAGTCTAATCAACATATAAGTCTATGAAGAGATATAATTATCATCTAGTAATGTTCACATTTATTTATTTATTTATTTACGACACTTTCATTGGACAATATTAGATAAAACTCATACTTGATTAAAAATCTCACTAAAAAATTTTATTGGGAAGAACTTAGTTGTGAAACGGGGTTATAATGTAAATATGTAATAAACACATTTTTATAATAAATAAATGGATGCTGGTTACTAAGACTATGTGGTCTAATGGTACCCGGGTTGAGAAAGTATATGAACAGATATTATAATGTAATAGGGCCAGTAACATTCAAAAAAAAAAAAAAAAAAAAAAAAAAGTAAATACCTAAAATGGTCCCTCGACTATAGCTAAATTCACAAATTGGTCCTTAATTTTCAATTTCAACCAATTAAGTCATTAACTTTGCAATTTTTTGACACGATTTGGTCATCCATCTATTTGACCATTTGTTGACCGTGATCGACGATCTCCAGAAGAACCATCAACTCTCGTCGGAGCACGTGGAGGCCTCCAGGATGACATTGCACCAGTTCAGAAACACGTCGTCTTCTTCGCTCTGGTATGAACTCAATTACATTGAATCCAAAGGGAGGATGAAGATAGGCGATCGGATTTGGTAGATTGCTTTCGGCAGTGGATTCAAATGTAACAGTGCGGTCTGAAAATGCAACCGGAACCTTAAAAACTCGACGATGGACCATGAAATTACATATATATCCTCAAAAATCACAGTCAACAAACGGTCAAATAGACAGAGGACCAAACTGTGTTAAAATTGCAAAGTTAAGGACTTAATTGGTTGAAATCAAAAGTCGTGGACCAATTTGTGAATTTAACTATAGTCGAGGGACCATTTTGGGTATTTACTCAAAAAAAAATTGGATGCTGGTTTACTGAAAAATAATTTTCAACAAACTATAATTCCTAAAAGTGGAGCAAAATTGAATTATGGTTTGTTTGATTCGTGGAAACCTTTTTCCAAAGAAATTTGAATTCCTCACTGGTAGGGAATATCCCGACCGACATAGCTTCACCACGACCGAGATGCCTTTGTCCTTTTGTCTATGTCTTTGCAGGTAACAGGTCGGGCTCCTTGAGGAGAACCCGGTCGGGGACCGACCGGGAGTTGCCCGAGCGATGCTATGAACCCCGAGCGGTGGTCCTTAGGCGAGAGAGCTGGCTAAAGACACGTGGCGGCTTTCTACGACGACAGGCAGGGCACCCGGGAGGAGGACACGTGGAGGCTACGTGGAGAGCATGCCGAACGGCCGGAAGCTTGTCTCCGGCGTCGCGGCTATAAGTACCCACAGTAGCTACAGTGTAGAGGACTTTTGGACGATCGGTAGGTTGTAACCAGAGACTCCCGACCGCAGTCAGTCGGTACTCAGAGCAACCAAGTAGATTGTACTTAGGAACTCTACCTTGATCAATAAAGTCTTACCTGCTTTACTTGGTCTTGTATTATTTGTATTGCTTACATAGAATTAGCAGTATCACTCACAAAACATATAAATATTAAAAAAAAAAAAAACAAAAAACAAAAAACACAAAAGTTCAATTTTTTCACTAATTTTTTTTTTTTTTTTGAAAGCAAAACGAACTTGATATATTAGAGAGAAATAGAGTCATTACAATAAAAACCACTTAAAAAACGAGGAATAAAATCACAAAAGACATGTCTTTCTTCTTCATTAGTACTCAGGGCCTTTTTAGCTAGAAAATGCGCCATCTTGTTGTCCTGCCGCCGTACATATTTAAACTCCACCTGTGGCATTTGAGTAAGCAACTCCCGAATTTCTTGAACAATTCCACCGAACGGTGATAAGTGTGGACCTCCCCGAACAGCGTTGGTCACAAGTTGAGCATCCGTTTGTAACATAATCTTGCTCCATCCCCTAGTTTTAATCCAGCTTAACGCCTCCCTCGCGCCTATTGCTTCGGCTTCCTTGACCATGTATAAATATACATAGATGTTACAAACGAAAACATAGATGTTTGAGTTTTTTCACAAATAAGCGTTATTAACATACATATATACGGAATATATATAGGAATATGATCAAATGAAAACATAATATTCTTATAAACCATCTATTAAAATTCATAAATAATTAAATATTTTTGTTAAAAAAATTAATTTTATAATTATTAAAAACCTCACAAACCGAATTTATAAAAACCTTTGAATATGAAATATGGTGATGTATTACACTCCGACGACGACGCCTCCCGCCTTCCCCTGTGAATCTGCGACGAAGCAAGCAGAAGACAACGAAGGTTAGGCCGACGACGCTGCCTCCCTCCCTCCCCTGCGAATCTGGGTATGCCTTCTTCTTTGAAATCTATGGAGTAGGGACTGAGTAAGTGACGAGGCCTTGACACGGCCGTGTCGTCGAAGACTGGAAATTCCAGTCTTCGACGACACTTGTTGAGTGTTGAAGATGAATGACTGGCTTCTGTGGCTTTGGTTAATCTCAATTGAGTGTTTTTTTAATTTTTTAAATCTCAATTGGAGATGAGATTATAAATAATGTTAATTATAGAGTATGCTGGCAAGAATAATGCCTTAACAGTTTGAGAGATTTTGACGAAGAAGGGAATAACTCAAGGTTGTCTCATCGCAAATGATGATGATCTAGACACATTATTTTGGTTCTACAGGTAATATAAATTATAAGGCGAGCAAGAATTTTCAAATCACTGGTAACTGAATGCATTAATTTGACATAGTGAATTGGATGCTCTCTGTGAGTTTAAAATAAATATTATGAATCGGAGCATGAAGTTAAATAGGTCGAACTCGAGCTTGAAAGTTTGAGCAATCTGACTCGAAGCTTGAAAATTCGAGCTCAATTTGAGCCAATCAAGTCTCTCCGACTCAAGCTCGAGCTTCAATTTTAAGGCTCAATCAAGCTCAAGCCACGATGTATTTATCGAGCTTGAGCTAAAGCTCAGCTCGGCTCATTTCCAGGCCTAGTTAAGAGGTGGACTAGAAAAAAATGTTAGCAATGAGCATATATTCATAGCTCTTGAAGCTATGTCTATAGTGTGTTGTCTTAAATTGGGATGTGATATTTTTAAATAGACAACACTTTAACAACAACGGTTTTTAGAAACCGTTCTGTTTGGGCGAATATTTAAATAAAAGACAATGAGTTTTTATCAAACCGTTGTGTTTGGTGTGATTACATTTAGTGTAATTTTATAGTATATAATTAAAAAATAGTTTTAAAAAAGTGTGGTTGTATTTTAGGATTGTGCTTGTACACTACTAGACTTAGACAAATTAAATAAAACAACGACGAGCGATCCGCAACCCACAACCCGTTCCTCTGCATGAAATCTAGTGAATTGTGATTGTGAATTGGTAAATTATATATTTGGTGCTAATTGCTAAGCTACTTACATAATGGGAACAGAATTACAAAACCTGATTTGTTATGAGATTATGATTGCTTGAGCTAGATAGCCAAGTGTGATTGTATTTGAACTATTTTATTAGTGTTTGATATTTTGTCATGGACTTTATCTGGCTTGCTGGATTTTTTTTCTATTTTCGAATATGATATTTTGTTTTCATATTTTTTTTCTTGATTTTTTTCTTTTTGCTAGACAATTGTCGTTTTGATCTACTCTGGTTTTTTCTGAATTACTGTGATTTAAAAAAAAAAAAAAAAAGATTCTGACAGTTGAAGATCTCTAGTGGATGGTAAAGTTTTTACCCATTGTCCTTATTACAGCTTCAAACTCTAGAAATCAAGGGGTTGCAATTTGCACATTTTGCATTTCTTTGGGGGAAATTTAGTTCGATTTCCTGTATTCTAATTTTAGTTCTTTATTTCAAGTAAGTTGAAAATATGTTCTTTACACTTTCTGTACCTTAATTAGGTTCAGTTTCCAGCTGATAATGCTCAATTCCTTAAGCTGTTCTTTGAGGAAAACCTTAAGCTGTTTTTAGTGAAAAATCTGTTCTTTAAGCTTTCTTCTGATAGTGCCCAATTCCTTTTATTCTTGAGCTCAATTATTTCACTTATTCATATGAACATATGTAGTCCTATCATCTATGATTCTGCAATAGATTAATTGATGAATGTCAGTTGTTAGTTTAATTGATTAATGTTGTTTCCAATTTAATACTTCCCAAATTATTATTCTTTTTAATTTTAATGTGTTTTTTATTTGAACCATTTGTATTTGAATGGTTTTGATTTTTAAGCATGTTATTTACTTTTCGACCCCACTGAACAAAAGTCGTATGCTTACTTTTATCTTCAAATGAGTAATAACTAATAATGCATAGTAGGCGTTGAATGGAAGATTGTCAAATTCTTCATTCTCTTTTAAAAAAATGTACTTTTCATTGATTAGTATATTATGCTGCTAATTTTAAAACTAAACTTTCCTTACAGGTTTCAGTGAAAATTGTGTATTTTCACATGGGTGATGGTGGTGCTAATGGGGCTGACAAGAGAATAGTTTTTGTGACCGTTGGAACTACTTGTTTTGATGCTCTAGTTAATGCTGTGGACACTGCTGAAGTTAGGAAAGAGTTGTTCGAGAAAGGCTATACTGATATTATTGTTCAAATGGGTCGTGGAACCTATGTTCCCACAAAGGTAAATGTGAAATTTGTTTTTGTTATTAATTTTTCGTTGCTTTTAGTTTCTAAACAATATGTTAACAGCCAAAATCATGCTTCTCTGTGAAAGTTGAATGCTACAAACTTTTTGTATCTTGGGCTTAATGAAGACCAAAAAAAAGTATAAGGATGGTTAAAACATTTATTCCCGTTATAATCATTCCAATTCCACCTTACTATCAAACATGCAAAATACTTTCACAAAAACCCATACCATTACCAAGTATTTGATTCTCATTCCGATTCTGATTTCCATGTGCGAACCAAACACACCCATAGTAATCATTGTTGGAAACACATGTTATTGCATGATATAGGCTCAGGTAGTAACATTTATTTCATTCCTCGTGAGAATTTATTGCATGTCTTTAATTGCGTGCTTAGATATCCCTTTAAATTTTCAGTCTGCCTCAGAAAATGGATCCCCAGCGCTGGACTATTTCACTTTCTCATCAAGCATAGCCAAATATCTGAAATCAGCATCTCTTGTTATTAGCCATGCGGGTTAGTCATGATTCAATACATGTCTATTTTCATTTATCTTTGATTTATTTTCTCAGTCATCACATGAATCCATTATTTTCTTTCCCAGAAAAGGTAGGATATGATGTCAGTTTCACTGTTTCAGAACTTGTGTAGTTTCATAAGAATTTATCTTTAAATGTAAAGAAAATACACGATCAAATTTGATTGTGCTGCAGGTTCGGGAAGCATATTTGAGACATTGCAACTAGGCAAACCATTGATCGTGGTAGTCAATGAAGATTTAATGGACAATCATCAAAGCGAGCTAGCGGAAGAACTTGCTGATAGAAAGCATTTGTTTTGTGCACGTCCACAGACGCTATACCAAACCATCGCAGACATGGACTTGGAGTCTGTTGTTCCATATCAACCAGGTGACGCTAAGCCAGTAGCTAAACTCATTAATAGTCATCTTGGTTTCCCTGAGGAATGATCTGATGATGGTTCAAAGAATCATCTTAGAGTCAAAGTAGATCTTTAAAGTTCTAATGTGATATAATATTGAGCAGAGTGTACTAAATTGGGCAGTTTCTACAATGTCATACTTCCCAAAAAGGAAACAGCTATGCTTAGGCATAATTATAGAAAAAATGTCATTTTGTACTAGAAAAAATGTCATTTTTGGTGCTATGAGTATTGGAGGAGTATTGAACTTTGAAGTGCAAGTAAATTGTGTTAAAACACTTAAAATGCAAGTGCAAGTAACGGATCAAAAACACTATTTTTTTTTATTACGGTGGCATTTTTGTAAATAATTGAATTTTGAAGTGCAAGTAAATTGTGTTAAAACACTTACAACTTTAGTTCACAGAATGAGACTTAAATTTGTGACTTTTCACCATTTGAAATGGTAACAATGATACCATCAAACCACAAAGTACTTGGCATCTTACTAATCTTATTTTAAAATTGCATTTTAATATTTTTTTTCTTAAATTATTTATTGTTTTGTCAATGAATATTTACAGTAACCAAAATACCTCAAGTTGTTAATTTGGTCTTTAATTGTCGGTTAATTGACTTAATTCCATTAAGCAAAAGGGATTCTCACATTAATGGATAATGACCATATTTCAAAATATAAAATAATTGAAGAACTAAAAGTTGAGCTTTTTAAATGATATGTTCTTAAATTTATGATAATGATGACTTTTGATACATGCACAATGTATAGATATTATACAAAACACAATCCAACCAAGTTGATCACATTATTGACTTACTAACCACAAAGTTTCAAATTCGACTCCTGGAGCGGCTTATTGACCTTGTTTTGAGTATCAGCAAAAAAAATAAAAGTAGATCTAGAGGTTTTTACATATGTAACAAAAACTAGCAAATGAGGAAAGTGGAGCCGAAAGCCATGACGATTTTAGTAGCTGCGGAAGCATAATAAGTACTATGAGAGCGATAGAGACGTGAAGCTGAAAAACAAACAACGTTGCTGGTAATGCGATTGCAGAAACTGTGATCATGTCCCCTAGCTGCCTATCTACCCTCTCTAATGATCTCATGAAGCATAGCCCTGGATGGAGTATCAGTTGTTGACACACTTGTAGTAGCCACTGATGAATAATCGCCTGTCGTTTGGGAACCATGAATGTCAGTCATGAAGCTGCTTCTATCATCAAACTTCCAGTCAGTGAGGTAGCTGGGCCTTGAAGTTACGGTTGGTACTTCAGCGTCACCTGAAAGCATTGCCACCACACGGGACATTGATGGCCGCAATGAGGGGGATGCTTGGGTGCACAAAAGCGATACCCCTATCACCCGTTTCACTTCATCCTTATTGAAACCTGATAGACGTTCATCCACCACATCAACGTCGCGATTATTCTCATGGAGATGCCAAGCCTAGCAACAGTCGGGATCAAGAGAACAGTTTAGTTAAGGACTTAATCCAACTACCTCTGTCATCCCTTAAAAAATTGTCCTAATTTCTATTTCAATGGTTTTTCCAGGTTTATTTCAGACAATAATAAGCTTTTTCAGATTGATATATATTCCATACATACCCATTCAAGAAGATATATCTTATCTTGTTCCAAGCTCGAGTCAGAGTTTGGCCGACCACTGACAATCTCCATGGCAACGACTCCAAAGCTAAATACATCAGCCTTCTCAGTAAGGCGGCCACGCATGGCATATTCCGGGGCAAGGTACCCACTGCATCAATAATTAGTTTGATAAATAAGGGTAAAATCTTGGACATAGAATCAAACTGCATGAATAGAATATAGGGTTTAAGGATCTTACATTGTGCCTGCAACACGGGTGCTGATATGTGTCTTTTTATCATCATAGAGCTTCGCCAACCCAAAATCTGAGATTTTAGGATTGAGGTCTGAGTCAAGCAGAATATTACTAGCCTTGATATCTCTGTGCACGATTCTTAGTCGAGATTCCTCGTGCAAATAAGCTAGACCTCTTGCTACTCCCAAGCATATTTCAAAACGTCTTGGCCAATCAAGGTATAAGTTACTGCCTCCTAGAATGTTTAAAAAATAAAAATAAATCGGCATCCTTATATTAGAGATAAGTTATAGGAACTAAAACGGTATACAACTATAAGATAATACCAAATAGTGCTTGATCAAGACTCTTGTTTTCATGATACTCATACACAAGCAACCGTTTGTTTCGCTCATAGCAGCAGCCGTACAACTTCACAAGGTTGCGGTGCTGAACGCCAGAAATAGTTGCAATCTCCGCCACAAACTCGCTCTTCCCTTGGTGGGAGGCCACAGAGAGTTGCTTAACAGCTACATTTCTCCCATCCTCAAGCGTTCCCTGTTTATCACCAAGTTTAGGCTAAATGACAGATATACCCTGAGGTAAATTTTCTTTTTCCTGTTCACATCTTTCTAGAGAAAATGAAGAACTTGTGTTTAGATGTAAATCATTAGGTATCTTTTTTACACACAATTACACCAATTTTGATTGCTTATAACTAGAAGGCAGAGCGGACACAAATGAAAGGAGATATTTTATGGAGGAAAACTATAATGAAAAAGGCAGTGAATTGAAGATGTGCTTCAAACAATCCCTAAGGAATATTTAATTTTACCCATAATAAAAGAGGCAGTGAATTGAAGATGTGCTTCAAACAATCCCTAAGGAATAGCCGACATATTTAATTTTACCCCTTCTACTTTTTGGGTGAAAAATTGAGGAAGGGTTACTTTAGAACTTCATTGCAAGAAGAATTACCTTGTATACTGATCCAAATCCTCCCTCTCCAAGCTTATTAGAAGGACTAAAGTCACTCGTTCCGGCTTTTAATTCTGCATAACTAAAAGTATATGGCTTCACATCCATTCCCAAGAACTCTGCAAATTCAATAGGAAAAGATGCTATTAAACTTCAAAGTTCAAATTAATCATATTTTACCCACCAAAGGGCTTACATAACATAATGAGTTCTTTCCATCTCCCCCCAAAAGAGAATAGAAAGTAGAAGAAAGGTTCTGATCTTATAGGAATGTGCAACAAAGGTAGCAATAAATGAATCTAAAAGATGTTCATCGATAAACATTATATTCATTCTTGCTAGCTAATTTGTGTTCCCTACTTCGAAACGAGATGACATTGTAAAGAAAAATGTTAGCAATCTTTCCAATAGAACTGATCCTAAACTGCTTTGATCTATAGTAAGAGTTGGTAAACCAATTTTTACTAATTTCTTGTTGCTTTATCCAGGCCAAGCTATGCTCATAGATTCACAAAATAATTTCTCAAACAAAAAAACAAAAAACAAAAAAAAAAAAACAAAACAAAACAAAAAAGGTTACAGCTCTTCTGAAAATTTATTTTTTTTAAAAAAAAAAAACATGAAGCAAATAAAATAGAACAGGATTTGTAGTAAATTTTTTACTTACCTTCATCGTCATATGTCTCCTGCCTTTTTCTTCTCTGAACAAAACAGTACACAGCAAATACAGAAAGAAGGCTCACGATTCCTACTGCAACAAAAATTCCTACAACCATGCCAGTTCTATTCTTCTTTTGTTCAGAGGGAGGTTTGTTACTAACAGTGGGAACAAAATCTGCAGAAAAGCTTAGTTTTCAAAATACAATTTTTTAAAAATTTTGACAACAGATTTACTTGAAATGATAGTCAGTGATGATCATATGTACCTGGGGTTGCACTAATCGCTGAAATCAAAGGTCCATAAGTACCTTGACTAGGTATACAGCAAGTTCCTTTCCCAGCCCAATATAGATGGATGTCCATATGATTTTCAGATACTTGAACCTTATATTGCCTTGAAAGAGCTCTTAGTGACCCCCCAGCTAATTTTTGAATGTCAAAATCTTTCTCCTTTAGGTTGCCCTGACGAAACCAACGAACTCAGCTAAATGTCATGTATAAGTAAATAAATTATTGAGTCTACACTCTACAGTCACCCAAATCCTAGAACACATACCTGTATATATATATTAAAGACGCGCCTCCCAAGAGTCTTCCAAGAAGGAGGATTAGCATTCAGGATTACTGTCTCTGCAAACTGGAGGGTGACTGTGTAATTACCATTTTCCAAGCCTAAGCCATAGTACCTTAGAGATCCAGCTGAAATTCTTGCTGTCTGGAAGAGTTCAGAGTCCAAAGTATTTGTAAACTGTGACGAACTGGAGGTTGCGTATTTTGGGTTATTGCTATCAGAGGGCAGTCCAACATTACTAACAGCCCACCTGCCTGTGCTTGTCATGTAATATGTTGCCGGACCAAGAGTCCCATTATCCCTCTCATACACTATCTGGTTAAACGACGTTATTTCCTGACCACCACACTTAATAGCAAAGCTAGAGTCTGTGGGTGATGAGCAAATATGAAGTGTTAAAAGACCTCCATCTCAAAATGCATAGAAATAGAATAGTAGTCATGTAATAATTTATAACATCTCAGAACTTAATCATGCACAGACTACAATGCTTTACAATGAACATAAAATATCAAAACATAATATAAAAATCTTTTGCTGTTTTAATTATTTGGCCTCTTCACAGTATGTAGCATGCAAAATTATATAAAAAAGTTAAGGGGACAGAAGTTGGAAACGAGTAGAAATGTCATCTTTAAAGAATTACAAATTCAACATATTTGTTTTGAGCATAAAGTATTGATCAATGAAAAACATTTTGGTTTAACTTACAAATGGGATCTCCCCGATGACATGGGAAATTCTTCTGAAGACAATTCAATCCCAAAGGCAGAGCACTGAAAGGAGAAAGAATGCATTGAATCAGATAAACACTAAATCTAAGAGAAGTTAAAACTATCTCAAAATAATTTTTTGACTTAATTTGCATCACTCTGCCAGAACAAACTATCAAACGTTTTCTGAGAAAACAGTAGCCTGATGTAGCCATGGCAACAGTTTGGATCTAACCATTTACTATTCTCACCAGAATCTTAGCCGAGATCCTAAGGTCCTTGTTAAGATTCCTCTATTTTAGGCATAGAAACTCAGAATGCCCTCTATAATTTTTAAAATTTATAATTCTGAACTGGAACTAGAACAGTGACTGGTACTGTACAGTTC